CCCCAAAACCCCAAAACCCCAAAACCCCAAAACCCCAAAACCCCTTAAAAAATTAAATTAATTGAACCTACACTCGATAAATAACAGAGGTTTATATAGAATCATGACTGACATTGAACCAATGTACCAAAGAATATCGGCAGCTAAAATTGATCCTTCAAGGCCGACTCATCGACATAACTATAACATTACTGATTTCTTCTGGAATTACGAAGAAATTTCTAAGATTCCAGGACCAAAGGCTGTCAATCCCAATTACTTACTGGAGGAGCAAGAGAAAGATAGAACAATTTTTGAAAGAATCACTGATTATTTCATGATGTCTAATCCCTCTCATTGGATATTCCTAGTCCTCATGGCTTTTATCACCACTACTATCTCTATTGGTATTGAATATGTGGTTAAGAAAATCACCGAACAAAAGATTCATTGGGCAATGGAATCAGATTTAGCATATTCTTACAGACTCTTGATCTGGGTTGGATCAGCCTGGGTTCTTACCTTAATCGCTACTTCTGTCGGAGAATATATCAGTAAGGATGCTGAAGGCTCAGGAATCCCAGAAATGAAATCTATTTTAGCAGGAGTCAATATTTACAGATATCTTAGTTTTCAAACTCTCATTGGAAAGATCATTGGCCTCACTGCAGCCCTTTCAGCAGGATTATCAATTGGAAAGGAAGGGCCATTTGTCCATCTTGCAGGAGGAGTAACCAATAAGTTATGAAAATTGGGATTTTTTAAAGATATCCAAAATAACCATTCCTTAAAGAAACAAATGTTGGCTGCTGCAGTAGCTGCGGGAGTTACTGCTACATTTGGAGCTCCTATCGGAGGTGTACTTTTCAGTATTGAAGTAACATCTACCTACTACTTCGTTAGCAATCTTTGGAAGGCTTTCTTCTGTGCATGCATAGCAGTCGTAATGATGAAAGGGTTTTCAAATTTAGGACTTTATGATTTAGCAGTCCCCCAAGAAGAACCAATGCAAGTATATCATGACATTCAATATCTATATTATGGAACTTTAGGACTCTTATGAGGAGTCCTAGGCTCAGTTTTTATTCAAGTTTTATCTAAATTGATCTACTTAAGAACCAAAATTAAGGCTCCTTTTATTAGAAATAGATGGAAATTATGATCATTGATTGGGATTTTGACTGGAACATGAACCTTTTGCATTACTTTCTTTAATACTTCTGATAAGGTAATTTTGAGCCAATTATTCTCACCAGAAAACTTAGATCAGCATAAAAACACTCAATGGACTCAGCCAGCAATCGGCTTCAATTTAGTGGTTTTTGTAGTGACAAAATTCATGCTTGAAGTTTTGGCTATCAGTAGTCCTATACCAGCAGGGGTATTCACACCTACCTTTATTCTCGGGGCTGGATTTGGAAGGCTTTATGGTTATATCTTGAGACTTTTAATTGGAGATAGTATCAATGAAGCAGCCTATGCAATTATTGGAGCTGCATGAGTAACTTCTAGTGTGACAAGAACAATTTCAGTTGCAATGATTGTATTTGAACTCAATGGGCAGTTAAGCTATATGATTCCTGTATTATTATCAGTCCTTCTAAGTTATGCCATTAGTAATAGCCTTGCAATGTCAATATTCGATGTTTTACTTGATATGAAGGATCTTCCATATCTTCCTGCTTTACGTAGCGTTGAGCACTATAAAATGACTGCAAGCCATATCATGAATAAGAACTTCCTCTACCTCACCATAAATTCTCAGCTCTCTGACATTATAGTGCTTCTACAGCATCTTGGGCCTAGAGCAAAGAGTATCCCAGTGGTTGAGTCCGAGGAGGATAAAGTTTTGCTTTACTCAGTCCAAGCTCAATCTTTAAGAAAATATTTATTCTCTTACTACAACACTGTGTCGCATACTTTAGACAAGGAGCTAAGAGATCGCTTGAATAATTACTTCTACAATCTTTACTCCATCTCCAATAACAAGATGGGCAAAGGTGACAAGAAGCAGAAAGAACACCAAGAAGAAGCACTCGCATTTTTACAGCCAGATAGTGATATGAGTAACATTGAAGAGAATAAAGATGACTCTGAAGGTATTTTGGACATTTACATTTAGCTAAACACCATTCAAGGAAGGGCTCTTCGTTCATTCACCATAAAGAAAGTATGCTAAAGATTAGAGAGTTCAACCTCAAATCGATGGATCCTCCTTCAGAGAGTAGCAATAGTGAAAGCTCAATCGAAGATGATTTCTGGATGATTCATATCAATTTTAACCACGAATTTTTAGAAATTGATAAGGCTCCCTTTTCAGTCATGGAAGAAACATCAATGTCAAAGATACATTTCTTGTTTACAATGCTGAACCTTTCCCAATTGTTTGTTATTCGCAGAGGTGTTTTAGTAGGTATAATAACCAAGAATGACTTTATGAAGAAGAAAAGAATGGTTGTTGAGCTTCCTACTCAAGAAACAGAACCTCGAAAGAGCGAACACAATGACAACTTACTCTCCTTTCCACTAAACCAGATGAGTCTAAATGAAAGAAGATTCCATGGAGATAGTTCTCATAAGTAACTCATTCTTCTAAATTTATAGGGAAATTGCTGAAGAATCAGGAGAAGATAGTCCAAAGAAATCTAGTCCAGATAGACGCTACTACTCTTAAGTTTCAATTCTTGGTTAAATAATCGGGGTTTTGGGGTTTTGGGGTTTTGGGGTTTTGGGG